ATTGATTAAATCTACAATTTCCTAAAAGGTGTTACAGTCCCAATTATTCCATTACTTTTCAAGTTTGTTCAGCAAATTCTACATCTGCAATGGACAATTTTCAAAGTGTTGTGAATATATTATCACACATAATAAGTTGCTAGCAATCAACACACAATGACACAAACCAGCTATTACATAATCCCCTTCAATACAGAGTGGAGAATAACAACATGGCTTAACAATTAACATATAAAAACCCCTCACAAAAGTTTCCTAAATATACATCTTTTCAAATACCATCTTCACATTTTTAAGTGATGATAATAAACCTTATGTACCTCTAACTATACAAAATTTACAAAAAAATGTGCAAAAATAAATAAATATAAATATAAATAAAAAAGCTCATCAATAAGATATTGTATCTCTACTAACTTCGTTAAACCCAGAGGTCGACGAAGAAGAATAAGCTGCATCCGTGCGTACAGGTGTCGATTTTTGGCTCCAAGTTGGGCTTCGGTTTCGGTTTTCTTGGTTGAAATCCTTCATGGCCTTGAATCTCACGTCGTTGGTGTACGTGCTCCCGTCCAGGACCACATTTGGAACCTCCATTTTCCCTTCGAGCATTAGGACAACCTCGGACATCATGGGCCTTACGGATGGAGTCGCGTTTGTGCACAAAAGTGCCGTTTTCACCACTCTTTCTATTTCGTCTCGGTTGATGCTAAGGCCCAGCTTCTCGTCTATGAGCTCGTCGATTTTTTTACTTTCTTGCAAGTGACCAGCCTGCAGTAAAAAATCGTTGTGTTTCAGCTCGTAAATTTGCATGGAGAGAGTTAAAAAAAAAAAAAATAGGGATGATCGTTAAAGGGTTAAGTTACGATATCCTCCTAGAAAGTAAACTTCCAAGGAAATTTTGTTTGTGATTAACTTAGGCTAAATTTGCATTTCTAGTCCTTGTTGGTTTAACGCCATAGTAATTTTAGTCCCATGATTCTAACATTTCGCCTTTTGATCCTGTGATTTAATATTTTGGGATTCAGGACTGAAAATGCAACAAATTCCTAAATTTATATCTTTGGGAATGGATTTTTTTTTAGCAATTTAAGTCTTGTAATTTAAAATTTTGTTGCAATTTCAGTCCTATCAACTCACGGACGAAAAGTCGAAAAGTTGGAATCTTAGGACTAAAATTGCTATGGTGTTAAACCAACATGACTAAAAAAAATGCATTTTTACCGATTAACTTAAAAGTAATGAAAAGCTGAGTGACATTAAGCTTTTGATACCCCACCCAATCGAGAAGGCAAACAAAATTTCGACTCGGCATGTAGTTATTGTTGCTTTTGCCACTGACGATTTCAAGAATCACAACTCCAAAGCTATAAACATCTGCTTTGTCGGTCAAATAACCCCACAGTGCATATTCAGGAGCCATATATCCACTGCAATCGAGAAATCGACAAGTAAAAAAAAATATATATAAAACCATTTATAATATATAGATAGAATTAAACTCACATTGTTCCGGCAATTTTCGTGCTAATATGCGTCTTCTCATCTTCATTAAGCCTAGCCAATCCGAAATCCGATATCTTAGGATTAAGGTCTTTATCCAAGAGTACATTTGTAGCTTTAATGTCACGGTGAACAATTTTCAGTCTCGATTCCTCGTGAAGAAAAGCTAATCCTTTCGCAATCCCAATGCATATCCGGAACCTCGTTTGCCAGTCTAACATCATATGGCTTCCTTTAGAAGAATCTGGAGAATAATAATCCAGTAGACATGGGATAAATAATCATATGCTTGACAAAAATATACATGCAAATCGAACGAAATTTTTTTACCAAACAAAGCATTTGCGAGGCTATTGTTTTCCATGTATTCGTACACTACTAGCAATTGATCTCCCTCGATACAACATCCGTACAGCTTCACTAGATTTGGGTGTTGCAAACAAGAAATCATCCCAATCTCGTTTAGGAACTCACGGTTACCTTGCCTTGATCTTGACGAGAGCTGTTTTACGGCTATTATAGTGCCATCTGGCAGAAGACCCTGAACCAGTTTACATGTAAGAATATTGTTAAAAAAAAAAAATTAAAGGGAACAAGAAATAAGCAATTTTTTTAGTAAAACTTACCTTGTACACAGGACCAAAACCACCTTCGCCAATCTTGTTTGTCTCGTCAAAATTGTTCGTGGCAGCTCGAATTTGTTTCAGAGTAAAAGCAACTGTTTGCAATTCGAGTCCTTCAAATTCTGTCAAGCAAGAAGTAAAGCAATCCAATCAGCATTCACTACATTTGAGCCTTTTTTTTTTCTTTCATTTATCAGAGAATCATTAACATACCTTTCCCAAGTTTTTTTCTGTTTCTGAAGAAAAATTTCCACCAAAGTACACCCAATATAGTGAAAACAACACATACCGACAAAACTCCAGCTACTATGTATGCAGTCAAGTTTTTCTCGTTACCATGAGAACAAACTTTAAAATCTGTAATGACCGAAAGAAAATATATATAAATATATAAGAGAAAATCATAGCTTTATGTAATGTAAGTTCATTTGATATTTTATACGGTTAAATAAAATTTGCTTACTTGGGTTAACTGATATAGCTGACACAAGTGAACCATAATCTCCCCTGTTTGGAATTCGTGTAGTCCCTTTACCAGCCCAGTAAAACCTGATCTCCAACGTACCATCTACCACAGTTACATTAAAATATCGAACCACGGGTTTTCGAGCCCCACGAGTCTCGTTTTCAATGTTAAAATCTTTCCAGACTAGTCTCTCCTGAAAAAAAACAAAAACAAAAAATAATAATAATTGCTAATACAGAAAGTTGGTTCTGTTCAGGGATACAAATATATCCACTCAAAAACGAGTTTCCTTTTTTTTTTGTTAACTTAATTTTGAAAAAAATTGGGATTTTGAGATTATATTAAAATAATATTTAAAATAAAATAATTAAAGTTAATTTCATGTAAAAGTAGGAGAGAGATGATATGGAGTGATGATTAGTTAAAATTATGTGAGTGAATGAATAGTGAAATAAAGTTGATGAGATGTGTAAGAATGAATGATTGGTACTATTTAATTATATTGATAATATTGAAGATAGTGGGGTTGAGTTAAAATTGAGTCAGATTTAGAGTATGAATTGAAAAAAATTATAAATCAAAAGATAACCTGAATGTATATATCAAACATTCGCCTCCCGAGGCTATTATATGTGCTGTCGTTCGTGAAAAGTATCTCGGCAAAATGCAGGTTCACGTTATAACTCCCGTTTTCCAAGCAATAATGGAAATATGTAATGGAAAGAGGACTTAAACGTGCGGTACTGTACAGGTTGGGTAGATTTTCAGTGGGCTCGATTTTGATAATGCGCGAGTTTTGGTAAAGGGGCTCGTCTATAAAGTCACCCGTGCTCGTAAATCCCCAGTAATTGCTGCTTAAATATTTTGCTGAGTCACCACCCGAATCGCCTTCGTATAAAACTTTTCGGTTGTGTTCTTTGATGTTCAAATTATCTCCACCGCAATTCACATGCAGAGAGCATTTGTCTGATAAAAATAGATTTAAATAAATAAATTAATAAATCAAAAGGGTTCGTAAAAATGGACAAAATAACTGAGAATTTACGTACATTTTGGGCAGACTACATTGCTAGTACAAGGAAGGATTCGTTTTCTGTTGAAAATCATGAACAAAGAATAATTATTAGCATGTGAACTGGAGTTGACTAATGAGTAATCACTACAAAAATAGAACACATTTC